TTTTGGCATCATTCAGAGGTCTTCAGTTCCTGTTGATCTTTAATACTTTGGGACCAGATTCAGCCAGTGTTTATACTAACCTAGCACCCCAGTATAACGAAGATGAGTGTTCCAAAGAAAGTTATTGAGACAGTTAAAGGAAGTTATAACTCAATAAAAAAATGTTCGCAGTTCTTTCTGGATCTTCGTCTCTCTGTTTTGTTTTTGCTTATTTTGCTTACCAGTAAACGACAGAAGGTGCATTATAAATGGGGGGGCGGGGCGGTGGAACCCAACTTCAGTGGGTTAAAATCTAATTTGAAACTAATTTGAAGCTTTATTTTCATGGTGGTAGGTCACCGGCACTTTTGGCCGGAAAAAACAGATCACTACCTGTTCAAAGTTGGACATGCTTTTGCAATTGCTACAAGTTTGTATAAAGGTAAAGGTTCCCTTGCTCGAAAGCCAGTCGAATCCAACTCTAGAGTTGCGGTGCTCGTCTCCATTTCAAAGCCGAAGAGCCAGCGCTGTCCGAAGACGTTTCCGTGGTCATGTGGCCGGCATGACTAAACACCAAGGCGCACGGAACGTTTGTATAGTGGGCCATAAACAGTAGCCGTACCAATTCTTCAAATTATTCTGGTGCCAGAGATTCCATTAGTCAGGATGTGTGTCACTTCCATCAAAGGAGTTTTACCCGTGATCCAGAACGGGAGCCAGGGCCCAGAATTCCTCCTCGGCTTCCCAAAGAAGGGGGGCGACGGGCGTGAAAGACCATCTGGCGCAACCCCCAGCCCTTCCCACCCCGAATCACGAAAGGAACTCACTTGTCCCCCAAGCAGACGCCGTCCCCATGTCCGACCTGCCAGTGCTGAAATTGTTCTGTGGACGCAAGGCAGAGGAGCTGAGGATACCCGGCACGTTCAGAGGACCACCTTTCCCGCTTTCCTTCCCCCACCCTGCAGTTCCTTCCCAAGTGGGACTCGATTTCAGCAGAGGAAACGGTTTTCCGGACCTGTTTCCAACTGAGGAATGGCCGGGCGCCTACCAGCCCAGCAGCGCCCGTTTCCTCATGCCACTGAGGGATCCTAATCACGCCCCCCCAGAAGGACCCCCCAACTTCCCAGCGAGCTCCGCCATCTTAACTGAGGGATTCCCCACCACCACCAGGCTCCTCCGTCTCACCTTCCCCTCGAGGATTCCTGACCAGGTTCCTCCCGAAGGGCTGCAGGACGCCCACCCGGGCCCACTCCATGCGGGGGCAATGACGGGCCGCTTCCAGGGCGGCCTTGAGAGCTTCCCGCCCGGAGGGGTCCCTCTCCCCCTGGAGCTTCCAGAGGGTGGGGCCGTCGATCAGGTCCCGCCACTGCCGGCACACCAGGCGGCCGCGAGTCACCAGGGCCCGGCCCGGCACCCAGCTCAGGATCAGCACCAGCAGCTCCTGGGGCAGGAGGGTCAAGTCCAGCCCGCTTCCGACTCCTTGGCCGCTCAGCGGGGTCGTGCCGGCTCTCTTCCGGCTCCTTGCCTGGCCCATGGTAACCTGGCCAACGTCAGCGGCCTGAAAAAGGAATATCCTGGGATGAACTGTCCTCGTTTTGCCTCCTTGGGCACCAAAGCGGCTAACAAAGTGACAGAGTCGTTCATTACGCCCATGAACCCGCCTTCTACTGAACCGGACCCTCGGCCCATCAGAGTCTTGTCGTTGTGTCCGCTGTCCGCCACATGAGGCCAGCGCACACTCCTGAGCTTCAGTCAGGAATAACAATGGGGACTAGGATCCTAGTCCCTCCACTGGGGGGACCAATGGGACCTTGGTGGGAGATTCAAACCCGCCAATGGGTCTGAAAGAGGGATATCTTGGGATGAAAGGTCCTCATTTTGCCTCCTTGGGCACCACAGTGGCTAACAAAGTGACATATTTGTTCATTACGCACATGAATCCGCCTTCTACTGAACCGGACCCTCGGTCCATCAGAGTCTTGTGTTGTCTACTCAGACTGGCAGCCGCTCTCCAAGGTCTCAGCTGCTAGATGTCTTCCACATCACCCAATGCCCGGTCCTTTTAACTGGTGATGCAGGGGATCGAACCTGGGACCTTCTGTGGGCCACACAGGCAGCTGCCGAATACCAAATTGTCGACTCCAGTCTTGTCGACTCAGGCAGGCAGCGGCTCTCCAGGGTCTCAGGCGGAGGTCTTTCCCATCCCCTCCTGCCTGGTCCTTTTAACTGGAGATGCCGGCTGCCGCCAGAGACCGACCCTGCGGCCTTCTGCCTCCGAAGCAGAGGCTCTGCCCCTGAGTCATTGGCAGAACATTTGTATCCCATTTTCCCTTGTGGTTCAAGGCAGCTTATAATAGTTATAGACATCTCCCGTTTAAAAGCCAGAACTCAAATAGTAAACCCCAATTCTCTCCCCCCTGGAAAGATGCCTGCTGTTCCAGCTTCCTGGCCCGGCAGCGCCCCCCGGAGATCTCTGAGGAGTGCCCCCCCCGCATCTTCTCGGGGCCCATTCCACAGAGCCAGGGTGGAAAAGGCTGGTGCCAACGGGGGCCACCAGGGAGTGGCGGGAGAGCCAACAGACGCCAGCCTGGCAACTGGCATGGAAACACACACCACGTCCTGGTTTCCAGACCAACCTTCTCTGTCGTTCGGCAGCCGGTCCTTCTGTTGCCACCGGTGTTCCCCCTAAGCTGAGTTGGTGTGAGTGAGCTCACAGTTTTTTAGCCTCCAGCTCACACCTTTTTGTCTTAGCTCAGGACGGAGGGCTCCAGAGCAAACTAATTTATGCAGCAGCCAAATCACTTGCTCACAACTTTGATGCCAGTAGCTCACAAGGTAGGATTTTTGCTCACAAGACTCCACAGCTTAGAGGGAACATTGGTCGCCACCCCCGCCTGAACTCAATGAGGCTCCTGAAATCCCCAAAAGCACGTCCAGAATCCCTGGGGTCCCACGGCCTCTCACGGCAGGCCGGCCTCTCTCGCCTCCCACCCCTCCCAGAGACTGCAATCCAGCCACTGACTTGGGGGGGGGAGTCAAACCTGTCATGCCTTCTCTCGGGTATTCTAGGCTGAAATGCAGGGGTTGGAGTCTGGGAGCTGGAAGAGCCGGGTTCGAATCCCCCCCCCCCGCCATGGAAGCCGGCCGGGCGACCTTGGGCCAGTCACACCCCCTCGGCCCAGCGGCCTACCTCGCAAGGTTGTTGTTGCCCGGATGAAAGGGAAGAGACTGCGGTCCGTCCCCGGGTTAGAAAGGCAGTGGATCCCGAGGCACTAGTCGCGATCCCATGCCAGGCAGCCAGGAAGCAGCCGAGGTCTCGCCGCGGAAGGGGGCGGCCGGCGGAGTCCGGGCTTGGACCGGAAAGGGCCGCGCCCCGCAGCGTTGCGCCCCCGGACGTGCATGACCGGAGTCGGGCCAGGCGTGGGCGGTGACGCGCGTGTTTGCCTGCACACGTGCTCTCCGGAAGCGCCACCGCCGCGGGAGAGGAGGAGGAGAGGCGGCCCCGGTCCCAGTCCTTCGCCTCCCGGCTCCTTTGCAAAGGGGCGCGGAGAGCCCTGCAGCCAGGTCAGCCGAGGGGGACGGCGGGGAGCGCTCTGCACATGCTCGGGGGCACCCCCGCCCCGGTGTTCCTCCCAGGAAGTCAGGCCGGGGCCGTCTCTGCGGGGGCTGTGGTGGGTGCGTGGCGGTGGCTTTCGCGGGAGGGAGGGAGGGGCATCGGGGTTGTCAACCTCCGGACGGGGCCGGGAGACCTCCCGGAGCGCCTAAAAGAACGCGGCTGCTTCTGGGGTTGGACTCGGTGGCGTGCAGGGCCCTTCGTCCCGAGAGGCCGGGAGCCAGCCAGCCTGCCTGCCTTCCGGGAGGATAAAAACCAGGGCCCCCCTTCACAAAGGGGCATTGCCACCTGCTCTCAAATATTGTGTTGTTCAGTGTTTCTGTAAATGACCTGGAGGAAGACCTAGAGGGGATGCTTATCAAACCTGCTGTAGATGACAGGAAGCTGGGTGGGATCGCTAATTCTGAAGGAGACGGAGTCAGGATTCAAAAGTATCTAGATAGGCTGGAGCAGTGGGCGGAGACAAATGAAATCAATTTCAATAGAGAGAAGCGCAAAGTCTTACACTTAGGTACAAAAAAATCAAAGGCAGAGATATAGAATGGGAGGGACTTGGCTTGACAGCAGCACATGTGAAAGGGACCTGGGTGTGATCACGAGCTCAACATGAGCCTGCAGTGCGACGTGGCTGCGAAGAAAGCGAATGCAGTCTTCGGATGCATTCACAGAACCACAGTGTCCAGATCACGGGAGGTGGTCGTTCCGCTCTATTCTTGTTGGGTATTACAAGTTGAAAACACTCAGTATGTCTGGGGTTGAACGTTTGTTTATGTTACTCACAGGAAGTAACATGTTTTTCATGTAACCAATGTTCTTTAGATATAGCAAGCACGGGAACTTTCTCCCTGATCTAGGAGTTTGATTGGGACTAAAGTGTCAAGGTGTATTACCATTTTATGGCTTCTCTTCCCGTCTTTGTTTGGTGTTCTGAAGAAGAGGCAACCAGGATGGTGAGAGGGTTGGAGTCCAAATCTTAGGAGGAGAGGCTGAAAGAGTTGGGTCTGTTTAGCCTGGGAAAGAGAAGGCTTAGAGGGGACATGACTGCAGTCTTCAAATATCTGAAGGGCTGTCATGCAGAAGACAGAGAGGATCTATTCTCTCTTGCTCCGGATTGCAAGACTAGGTCTAATGGGTGAAAATTACAAGGGCGTCGTTACCGGCTAAATATCAGGAGAAACTTCCTAACTGTAAGAGTGGTTGAGCTGTGGAACAGTCTGCCTGGGGAATTGGTGGAGGCTCCTTTGCTGGACGTTTTCAAGCGGAGGCTGGACGACCATCTTCCGGGTATGGTGTAGGTATGTAGGGCTATCTTTCAGCTGTGCTCCTGCAGAGTGCAGGGGGTTGGACTAGATGACCTGCAGGGTCCCTTCCAACTCTAACATTCTATGATTCTATCCCCCCCCATTTTTTAAAAAAACTCAAGGATCAGCGATGGGGGTGTTCGTGCTTCTTAACTGGAAGGTAGCATCCTCAGAACAGAAACTCATGCAGAGACACATGCTCTCCCTTGGCAGAGTCTGATGGGGAAAAGGCCCTGCTGATGGTATCCATGATGGGGTGGTGGTTTAAGGCTGCTGCAGCAAATCACCAAGAAGTGGGTCATACTGTGGCCCCCGAAGGTTTTGTGACCTCCCACGACCTTGGGTGCTTGAAGTAAAACCTCCTTGGAAACACAAATAGAGTGGGTGAACAGGCCATGAAATGTGAGAGGGTTGGTTTGCGTGTAGTCTGTTAAAAAAAAAAACCCCAGAAAGTACCTTGATGAAACCCTCAGAAAGTATATTGATGAAGTGGACTGTACCCCAAAAAGTTAATGTTTGTTGAGAAACCGCTTTAAGCCTGGAGCAGGGACTCCTACAGAGATGTCTAATTAAAATAACTTGTTCACTACATGGCCAAATGTCTGAGAAATTAGGGAAACGGAATGCTCTCCTGTCTAGAATGAGAAATTAATTTCAAGCTTGCATAATTGGTGCTTTAGAATACCTTTGAAATTAAAAGACGCCTGCTCCTTGGGAGGAAAGTGATGGCAAACCTAGACAGCATAATAAAAAGTAGAGACATCACCCTGCCAACAAAAGTCCGCATGGTCAAAGCGACGGTATTCCCAGTAGTCATGTATGGCTGCGAGAGTTGGACTATAAGGAAGGCCGAGCGCTGAAGAATAGATTCTTTTGAACTAGGGTGCTGGAGGAGACTCTTGAGAGTCCCTTGGACTGCAAGGAGATCAAATCAGTCAATCCTAAAAGAAATCAACCCTGACTGTTCCCTGGAAGGCCAGATAATGAAACTGAAGCTCAAATACTTTGGCCACCCAATGAGAAGGGAGCCCTCACTGGAGAAGACCCTGATGCTGGGAAAGATTGAAGGTCAAAGAAGACGGGGACGGCAAAGGATGAGATGGTTAGACAGTGTTATCGAGGCAACGGGCATGAAATTGAACAAACTCCAGAGGAAGGCCTGGCATGATGTGGTCCATGGGGTTGTGAAGAGTCGGACTCGACTGTGCGACTGAACAACAGCAGCTTTGTCGTTTGTATTTCAGAACTTGGCCTTTATTAGTTTTATTTCTATATATTTTATTGAAAATTAAAAAAAAAAGTTTCAGTGTCACATTTCCCAGAATGTGTCCAAATTTAGGTCGAATACAAAAGGCAAATTAAATTGGTAACATCCTTCAGAACCAAAGTCAAAGTTCGAATCCCCCCGCCCCAGGCCAACTCGTGCCAACGAAGCTCCCTGGGCGACCTTGGGCCGGCCTACCTCGCGGGGTGGTTGTTGCAAAGGGCAGAGGGTAGGAGACCGGGAGACAGGCTGGGCGAGCAAGGAAGTCAGTCACGAGGAAGGAGGGACACCCGCCGCGGGAGTGGGGCGGCCGTCCGGGCTTGGAAGCGGAAGGAGCCGCTCCCACGCGTCCC